CGCCGCCGCCTCCAGGTATCGCGGCGCCGCCGCCGACCTGACCCACCTGGCCACCCTGGCCCACCCCCAGCTCGTACTGCCGCTTCTTTTTCTTCTCCAAGTTAACTTGCGCGTAGAGCGGCTCACCGGGTTTCGGCTGCTGCAACACACACACAAGCCAACGGTTAGCCAACTGGTGGTCGCGCGTCTCTCTTGCGAGGGGGGGTGGGCGAGGGTGGGGGAGAACCGCGCGGCGCCTCGACCCTTCAGACGCTGAAAGAAGCTCAGACACTTTGGGGTGGTATTTTATGCACACTGTACCCTCGATCGTCCGTACATTCGCAAGTTGTCGATGGAAGTAAAACCGAGATTGAGATTGGATTGGAATTTAACCAATCGAAGCAAAAGCCACTAAACTTGAGATTGGTTTTCTTTCTTTTAGTTGGTTAAAATCCAATCTCAATTTCTAATCTGATCACGGCTTGTATTGAATAAAACATTATTCTGATATTCAAAGTGTAGAGATAAATGTAGAGAGATTTTTGAAAATTTTTTTACGCGATATGTACAGCCTTGGTTAAAAGTATTAAGCACAAATTGTGTAACATTCTAAAATTATATCTAAAAAAAAAATAAATTGAAAAATAGTTTTATTACTAAATAATATTTATTTTTATAATCAATAATTTTAGTCTTTTATTAGCTTTTTATTTTATTATATTATCTCTTTTTTCAAAAAAATCTAATAATTTGAGAGCGTTTTGTACTTATAGCTAAGGCTGTATATATTATTAAAAAGAATATATAACGAATAAAATATTATTTATATTGTAATTTCTGTTTGAGTTGCTGTAAATTGTATGTTGATTTGTATTATGTGTTTCTTTTTTGTAATTATTCCCTATATTCCGGATAATCGAGAATACACTGTAATGTGTAGGCAAAACCACGAAGAAGATGTGATATGTTTGACCTTTATTTGCAATCAGGTATATAGGCTATCTAATATACATATTTTCAAGTAATTGCTCCTGTTTGTTACATTGCGTTTAGTAATCGGCTAAATACAGAATATAAATATTCCGACGGTGACGTGAGTAAATTCGTAGCTGAGATACACAGATGATATAAAGTCGCACATGAAATCGCGTGTGTTGTGTATACGTGTGTACGTGTGCTACAAAATTATATATAATAATATTTAATCTAGGAAGAGATTTATTGTGCTTTTTTATGCACGGAATGCGAAATAGGATTCAAACACTCTAAAAAAATAAGTGGATTTAACATCATGTGGTTTATATAATTCTCACCGTGTTGGTGTTCGTATAAAAACAGTAGATTTAAGGATATGCCAGGTGTAGAGGTCTGCAAAAAAATGACTGGAATTGGAAATTTGTACTTCCTGTATAAAAATGAATATTATAAACATATGAAATAGTTCAATAAGGACAGTATTTATATTTAAAAATACAATTTTATAGTTTAAATAAAATTTATATCGTTTTATTTTAATTATTTTTTTAAAACGCTACTTATTCAAATAATTTTTTAACCAAATGCTAAATCGCCGCCAAACTTATTGTATACTTTCAAATACAATGTAAAAAAAAATTTGAAAATTTTTTCATAATTTTATTTTATTAAAAAAATACATGTAATACATCCTTAGAACCCATAGTATTAAATCTTCACATTTATAACAACACCAATACGATGAGAATTATTTAAACACATGTTAAATCTACACCCATATTTTTTATAGTAAATGTTCTAGCGTTACAAAAATGAAATCTTCCCTTATAAAAAGTCTTCCAATTTACACATCAACAAGCTAAATAATTTGACGTGATTTTCCGTTAGGCTTTATATTCGATAGTATTATCATCAAAATAAATTTTCATGAAACGGCGTACTGAAGGGATAATAATTTAGTACGGCGTATATGGCGTTGCGAACACCCATAATAATTATATTCTGTGTATTGTAACTTACGTATATAAGATTAATATAATCATTCCTAAGCTTATATACAAAATCGGGTATACAGTACAGACTATATAAGCTACGTAATAATTTAGTTGTAAATGCGTGTTATACCTCGCTATAATAAAATATAACTAGCAGGGCACTGGAAAAATGCATAGGAAATCGAAATCGCTTCCTAGCTCAATACAAATACTTTTTCTCGATAATCAATTGATGTATGTGAAACTACTTTCTCATTGTACGCTAGAAGTCAAAATAATTGCCATCGTTAGTGATGGTGTGAGGGTGTTCGTTTAGGCAGTGATCACGTCAGCCATAGCTCCTGTTAGTGTAAATTTGTGCGTTGTTCCGGAGACAAAAGTGTACAACATGATGCGAATACCTCGAGTATTCTCGCTTAGACCTAAAGTCGTTAGTAGCAACACTGCTCGGTGCGTTCCTAAGATTACATTACGCGTTAGAGATCCTCTCGCGCAGTTAGTTAAATTAAGTAGCAAGTTGGAAAATCGTTATGAAAACCGTGCAAAAAGTTTCAGGATTTAGAAAGTAGCTACGCGTTATTAAAAGGTGGGAGTTTGGTCCGGTCTCGTGCGTTAATTCGCGTGAATGTTGCGTGAACATTTATGTGGATTCTTGTACAACCAGATTCGCATTAATGAACACGGTATTACATATGGCGACTAATTTTAATCTTTAACTCGACATAGTAACATTTATTAGAAATGTTCGTTCGAATTTGGAAAACGTTCTAATGCATACAATTTTCTGTTGCATCTACCTTACGGAAAGCACGATAAAAATGGAAATCTTACAAGATCACCCAAACTGTAGGAAGACAATCATAAATCATGCAATTCGATCATGTACGTTTTAGCACGCAAATTACAATGGCTGTGTATGTTCGATTAAAAATTACGGAGTGATGTTTGTTCTTTTTGGCACAATCGATTGCGCCAAAAGTTGCGTCGATCGTCCTAGGTACATAATTGTGTATTTGTCGCGTTTGTATCACTTTGCGAGTCTAAGTAAACACTAACTACAAAGTTAAATATAATTATTTATTGGTGTACGATCCATCTGGTGTGTTCAAGGAAGTTATGTCGAAAGACTATTCTTAAATTCTAATCTGTATAACGACGCGAATATTAGAAAATTATCATGGCAATCGAGATTAATAGGACGAAATACTTCGTCGGTCTTATGAAAGAAGTGATCAAATTAGTAAATTTTTAATTACTTTTCTTATCACATTAAATAATTTGTGGTGAATCAATTTAATAATAAGTACACATGGAGTGAAATATAAATATAAAAATGTAGAAAAATTGATAAATCTGCGGTATCATTAAATGCGATTTCACATTTTAAAAGTGAGAGTTTTTTATAGTTATTTTCAAAAATCGTTGCTTTTTTTTTATTTACTAAATATTAGTGAATTTTTTCGTAAGACCGACGACTCAAATTGCATATATAATGTGCACGTGTGATTTCTTTTCCTACGCTTCGAATACGCTTTTCTCATCCTATGGTGTGTATCTACGCGGCGTATATTTATTTTAATGATGCTGTTAGTTATTATTACTTACTGATTGATATATAGTAGGTCGACCGACATTATTCGAATTCATGTTCGCTCGCTGGATCGTTCGATCCTCGTATCTTGTGCTTCCCTGGCTTGCCATCGGTCGATTCAGAGTGCTGCAATCGTAGCTGTATTTTAACGTAGAATCGAGTTGCCCGAAAGAAAAGAGTGAGGACTCCGCAGTAAGTATCGCGAACTAAGTGAATTCACACGACAAAACGAATAAACCATAAACAAAAAATAAGCGGAGTCCCAGAAATCAAATTACCAGAAAATAATAAATTCATACTTAGAAAAAAATAAATAAACTTAATTTAATGACGATAACATATTAATTCTAATATTTTCGATATTTGTAATAAAGAATTGTAAATAAAACTTAGAGAAATAAAGGTTATTTACAATTACAGAAAGATAGCCAACTTATAATAACGAAAAATTAATTTAAATTATTATCCTACCGTCTATATTTGTAACTTATTAGGTGTTGGAATTAATTCGTAGCGTTTTACAAGTGATGGGAAGTACTTTCATTAATGTATTTTTTAATGCTCATGTGAAATAAATAACATTCTTTCATTAAAAACGCTACGAATTAATTCCAACACCTAATAATGTAAGTTTTAATTATAAATACTAATTAAATTTAATAATTATGTTGTCATCTCGACATTTCAATTATCTATTATTACGGCAGCTATATATATATATATCCATTATGAGCGATAATTACCTGTTAGCGTTGTTGGGTGAATTAGGCCCTGAATTCCTGGCGGCAACAGTTTTCGTGACGAAGTCTTGCTCCTTCCAGCCGTGCTTCTTGTACACGTCTCGCAACTCTTGATGTTGCCACATAGTGAATAGTACTTGCCCTAAAAATACACACAAATGGAATAATTTCTATCTATTGATATAATGGCGGATTCATTAAATCGACTATTGATGTTTTAACGATGCATATTATCGGACAATTATTGAAATTCGGTTTCGAAATATTACCTGCAAATTTAAGAACGCGCGGCGTGTATTTCTGGCGTTGCCTGGTGATGTTCATCAGTCTATCGACACCGCCGGCGTCGAGCAATGACCGCGAAAACTCGGCGTTCTTCTTGATGACCTCGTTTAGAGTCGCGAGCACCGCGGCAATCGTGTCATCGCTTGTACCCTGATCGTGCTGATTATTTCCAGACGGCAGCTTCTGGATGAGATCCCTCATTGCATATTTGCCTATTAGCTCCTTATTGCGTTGGTCTATCGCCAAGTTTCTGAGCGCGGTTGCGACCGCGCAGACTACTCGGTCCACCTAGTCACAGAAAATACGTTAATCTAATGTTTGTGGTCACAATATTAAATTTTACTCATTTCACAGAGTTATAAATATTAAATATTATCAATACGTATTAAATATACATATAACTAACTTAAGACATAGATATCAGAAACTAAAAAAAGATATTTTCTTGTTATTTACTGCAGTAAAATTAACAATGCATATACTATCCATTAATAACTTTCTACAAACATTGGAAGTGTAGACCGTAAAGCATAATATATAAAATTAGATATCAGAAATTGTTATACAAATATGAAATTAGAACAAGCGTCAGTGTGAGTAACACTTCATACGATTAATGGAGAAAGCAAGTAAAATATTAGGTGTTGGAATTAATTCGTAGCGTTTTACAAGTGATGGGAAGTACTTTCATTAATGTATTTTTTAATGCTCATGTGAAATAAATAACATTCTTTCATTAAAAACGCTACGAATTAATTCCAACACCTAATAATTAAATTAATATTGGATAATATTCCATTGAGGCAGTTCAAATATAATCTAATTAATTTAATCATTTATTTAATTTATAATTTAATTTAACATCTGCATTTTATAATCGCGTAGGTTCTCTTTGCGTGTTCGCTAAATTAAATATTCGACACCATGTAATTACCTCCATTCTCAAGAGCTCCACTAATATAGGGAGACCTTTTTCCTTGCGTACGGCCGCGCGAATCTCGATGCTCGGCTGCCAGTAGCAAGCCGCGAGATTTTGCAGAGCTCCTGCAGCAGCCTCCAACGTTTCCGGATTCGAACACGTTTGCAGGAGACTAAGATACGATTGGACCACTTCCGGCTGCCAGAGCAATTCCATTCCCCTGACTGGTTCGGTCCGCGGACTCGTCGTACGTGACGCGGTGGTCTCCTTTTGAACCGGCTGGCCATCCTTCTTCTTCTTGCTCCCGCCGAAGCAACCCAGATTCTCACCTAGAGCAGAATTACAGAGGATCCGTATTAATAAGCCGTCAGGGAATTACACTGGGAATATTACGAAACCAAAGAGGCAAATGTCACATTGAGTTTTGATATTCGGAATTAGATTAAATTGTGTCCAATTATCGAATCACTTTCTATAAGATTCCTTATTCCGCGATAGGTATTTGCAACAGCAAGTCGGTGAAACATCGAGCAACATTGAGCGATATCGAGACAAGTGCGATTCGCATATTCGTGTTCCTAAGGCGCCTGTTACACACTTCTAAATTTTCTAACTAACCTGCTAAATTAAACGAGCCATTTATCTACGTAATAAACGAAATTAGAAACGAAATTGTAAACCATATGCCAAACTTCGCAGCAAGCTCGCTGAATTTGTTCATTGTCGGTCAATTTTGTTTCGGAATTTTGGTCAATTTTGCAAATACATAGACAGTGTATACAGAAGTATAAATCATCGCTTAAGAACATAGCAGTTACAACATTAAATAAAAAGAAAAAAGAAATAATTATTTTTATAGGGAAAATATAAATTCATAACTCAATATATAATGCAACGTAGTCGGCTTACGATCTGGCAAGGCAAAGCATGCAATAACTATATGTCTTCGAACGGAAACTAATTTACCAATGGAATTGCAAGAGGGGGCTTACCTTGACATAAACTGTATGCTAAAAAGATTGAAACACAGTTTAATCCATGCTGAGCTAGGATTCATAAAAAATCTGTGTGATTCGTCAACGGAATCCCAAAATAAACCGAAAGAAGGAAAAACTCTTTAAGTGTTCAACTAGGACATACTAGGGATAATTAAATGTTGTCTAAAAGAGAGAGAGAGATAGAGAGAGAGAGAAAGGGGGGAGGAGACAAACAACTCAATCAATACAGAGATATGTAAAGATATATTCGTTGTATATGTATATATATTTTGTTCCCCTTCGAAAGTGACATAATTCAAAACATTAAGTTTAGAAAAGGGATAAAACTATTTTTAACTTGAAACTTATCGACTAATCAAATAATATTCAAGAAAAATATATTCAAAAATTATTTTCGTTTTACGACCTTTAAAAATCACCTTTTTTTAGTTGTAACATTTTATGTTTTACAAAATTATAACAGATCCAGAATAATTTGTAAAAAGTGATTTATCGCGAAATATCACCAGCAGTTTATATTTATCAGTTAAAAGAAATTTAAAATAAGAAATTTCTTCTTTAAACTTTGATTATCAAACTTTGATTATCAAAACTGTCTTAACTCCAAATATTCTCCGTAGAAATTTTCTTTTTATTTACAAAAATGACAACTCAAATGTATCACTCTTATAGGAAATATTATGATGTCTTTAAAAACCTGAAGAACGGCACAAGTTATTTGGCGGACTGTGAAGTTAAGTTAGTTTACTTTGATGATTGATAGAGTAATCTTTACTCTTTAAAACTTTCAGAGTGAATCTCACTCTTCTGAAGAGTGAAATCTTACTTTTTAAAGATTGAAAATTGAACTGTTTTTCTATAGTCGAGCTCATTTTTCACTTCTTAAAGTGAGATTCCATTCTAAAGAATTTAGATATCTACTTTATTCTTGATATAATAATTCTAAAATTATTTCTTTTTTTTTAGTTGTGTCACATTTGAAGTATGGGAATGGATTTCTGGACACACTGTATACATCCATCCGTTTTGAAACCAGTAAAAGGCAAATTAAATCGAAACCAAGGACAATCTGGGATGAATTAATTGCGGAAGGAGATTGTGAGTACAGTTGTCTATCTACAGCAAATCATCTACCCTTAATTGCAACGTTTTGCTATCGTCACTTTTCTAAGTGCGTTATTTACGGTTTACGAAGCGATACAAATTTCGTCCTCGCGCTACCTCATCTCGGTAAACTGGCCCGGAAGTTTTAATCAAATTTAATACGCTACGTAAACTAACTATCTACAAACTACCGACTACGCGCCCGTAAAATATCAGCGGGCTTCGTGTCCGTGAAACGCGAGTGGGAGAATTAATGGTACAATTTCATTCGGGCCAATGTTACTTATTTCGAATAAATGTAATCGTAAATATTTCAACAACTCGCACGTAAATATTTCGGATGGTTTTTATGGAAAAAAAAAAAATCCGAACGTTCGCGCGACAATGTGATTTAAAAAATCGAATCAAACTCGACAGTGAAAAAATAAATATAAACGTGTGCTAAAATAAGAGATCTCGACGAATAGTTTTGTCTGAATTTAACGCGAGATAATTAACTGTTTTTAAAGGCCGACGTCGCGATAGTTTTGCACAATGGAAGAGTGTCTGCAACAGGGAAGCTGCATGTCCCCTCCGATCTAATTTCATGGTTGGTTTAAGGGGTGAATCATTTACCTCCTCTCCTCACTTGTCCCACCCAATCTTTATACACACATACACACATACACACACACGCACACACACGCACACACGCGCGCGCACACACACACACACACACA